ACGACACTGGAATGGGATCGCTCGGCAGCAGCTTTGCCTGGTTTCTCTGCGAGCGCATGATGTCAATTCCAGGAAAACAGCCAGAGCGAGAAGGCCGCACAGAGTCATAAGGGAAACAGTGGGCCATTCAGCCAAATTCCTTTCTTCATGGCAAGATTCCCTCTTCAAAACATCTTGCCCTAACCACCCTTCCTGCTGACCTCCTTTTGCAATATCTCAAAGCTACTGTGCCAGCCCATCCTTCCCAAGAGTCCTTTTCCCCCTTGACCAAAGGTCCTTTAAGTTTTTTAAGTTTCTAGTCCTCCCCCTTTGTTACGGGGAAGGTTAGCAGCTAAGGACAGCTTTATCCATCTCACAGAGTTTAACGCCCAACCTAACGCTATCTCTAGCCACCCCTCCCTGCAACAGAAATGAACGGCTGTACCAAAGATTCTTTTGAGAAAGCCAGCCCTTCTCTTCTCTTGCTCTGCTTGAACCCGAGCCCTCCTTCATGGGCAGCAGCTGCAAGAGAGTAGAACTGGAGAAGTGATGGCTGTACCCTTGGGTCCAGGTTGTCAAACTTGACAGACCCTTAGCAAGGAATCGTAGCAGTGGATAATGTACTGAGGGGAAGTATTTTGCCTATCCTTTCATCCTCACCTGCTAGATTTCTGCACGCAGGGAAGTTTTTTATTTATTTAGTGTGGAAGTATTAAGAAATGCTACTTGCACCCCACCTGCAAACTGAAGGAGTACACAGAAACAAAGCAAAACAAAGAGGGAGAAAGAGAGAGACGAAAACGTTGCGGCCCCTTCAAGACTAACTGCTATATTTTAATGTGAGCTTTCTTGGACAAGTGCACGACTTCTTCTTGATTCTGCCTGTTACATAAATGTTCTGTTTTATTTAAACTCAAATATAAGTTATAGACTCCATGAAAAACAATCTAAGAGGAAGCAAGTGAAAAAGCAAGGAGAAAGGCAGAAAAGTAGCCAAGGGACACATTACGCCTAAATGTGGGAGAACGTCTGGGGAAAGTGACATCCAAAATGTTCCTTTCCCATACTGAAGCCATTTCTCTGTGCAATGTGTAATTTGGAGTAACTTCTTTTCTTTTATTTTCTCTCTTCCCCCCCTTTTCCTTCCTTCCTTCCTTCCTCTGTGCTGAAGCCATTTCTGTGTGCAATGTGTAATTTCGAGTTACTTCTTTTCTTTTATTTTCTCTCTCCCCTCCCCTTTTCATTTCTTCCTTCCTTCTTTCCTTCCTTCTTCTTTTATTACATCTCTTTTCCTTTTCTCCTGTTTCTGCTTGGAATTGCCTTTCTGGGTATAGAAATGCCCAAGTCCTCATTTCTGCTCTCGAGTTCCTCCCTCCAAAGGACCGGTTCCTCTTCAGTCCCTGAGCCCCCCCCCCGGCATTCCCTTTTGCCGATTTCAAACGGGGGCTCCTCAACTGAACCCCGCTTTGCACGAATCGCTTGGCTCCAGTGTAGCAGCGAAGCTGCCATTTACGCGGCCCACAGAACGGGGCTGGTGACCAACCCTTTCCTCCCCCAGGCTGACCGAAAAGTCCTGCACAGAGAGCCTTTTCCTTTTCCTTCTTTCCGTTCCTCTTTCCACCCCCTAAAAAGTTCAAGGAAGGTTCTTTCTCTCTCTCCCCCCCCCCAGCAAGAGATCCTGTCCTCAAACCACCTTCTTATCGTTTCTTGTCCCCGGATCTCAACTCACGTGCTCTCTTGAAGGCAGTGCCTTGGTTCCCACCACCACGTTGGCCAATAGCAGGAGGCTGTAGCACAGGTAGCAAGCCTGGAGGAAGAGAAGGAGGAGGGGGGGGTCATCTCCGAGATGGGAAGGGAGCTCCTTAGATGCGATGCTAGAGGTGAGCGGTGTCAACTGCACTTAGTGGAAAGGAGGACAGGAGGCCACAACATGTGCTTTGCCATGCACCCACCCTCCTCCACAGCAAGGTCTTGTCTGAGTATAAATTGCACCCTCCTCTTGTGGGTTGGGAGGGATGCTGGGGGTGGGGGTGGCCGGGAGCTCCAGCTACCCAAACGGTAACCCCACTCCTGTATGATGGATTTCATGGCCCCGTCCTTTGACCTAAGAGTCTTTCAAAAACCCGAAATGAGCAGCACTGCTCGCAGAAGAAAGAAAACTTGCCCTCTTCTTGAGGGGGGTGTGTGTGTCTCCTTCCCTTCCTCCCTTTTCTGGACAGTCAGACCCCAGCAGGGACTGAGACCCACCCAGCATCAGAAAGAAGGACAGAGAGAGGGGGGGGCGTGCCAGTTCCAGCGGCTTCGGATCAGACCCAGCCAGCCACCTCGGTCGATCCTTGCTCCTGCTCCAGCCCAGAGTCCCATCCACACCTCACCTACACCACCACTTATGGAAGGTTGAGAGAGAAAGGAAGATAAACACCCACCCATGGCTCCCTGATGGTTTTTTAGTGCGGCTTTGGAAGGCCGCACGTTTCCAGCAGATTTGGGTCCAAACTCCCATCAGCCTCGGCCAAGGTTTATGGGAGTTGCAGGCAAGGAACATCTGGAAGGCCGTAGCTACCCACATCTGGTTGGGAGGCAGAGACCGGCTAGGTGGGATTTGGGGCCCAACTACAGTTCTACCTGGAAGAGACCAGGCTTTCTCTTCTACGTTTGGTGGACCTCATAATTTGTGTGCCCCCCGGAGCTATGCTACAACCGTGGCAAGAGGCTGGTGCGGCTTTAAACTGTCACCGCTCCGTCCTTCAGTGCGCTGGGACTTGTAGGTTGGCAAGGGATTTAAAATGCTCTGCTAGAGAGCTCGAGAGCGCTCCTCCGAACCACAGTTCCCAAGATACTCTGAGAAGAGGGTTTGAGGTTAAATGCTGTTATGTAGCGGAGACCCATGTGAGCCTCCGGGCGCTTCCTCTAGCAGAGAATTCTCAGGGCTTCTGAGAATCACTGAAGAGAATCGTCTTCAGAAGAAGGAATTTCTTCACTGCTGAAAGCACCTGAATGTACAGCAAAAACATGTCTTGTGTCATCTGCAAATCTTCTTGACGCATTCAGGACTTAAGCAAAGTCAGTCTGAACGGCAGATTTTTAAAAACACAAACATCTGCTTGAATCACATCTGTCTGACGCGCACATGCTTTCGTTACTGGCAGTCCCACACCTCCCGCTTCTGCCTTGCGCCCCTCGCTAAACTTTCTGTACTATTATTACTTTATTTGTGCCCTGACTTTCCAGAAGGGCAGGGGACGCAAGGTGGCCTTGTAATCATGAAAAACAATAAACTGCAAAAACAGATTGAAACACAGAATCATTAAAGACACATAATAGAATTCTTGGCTTAGGTCTCTGGCTGCAGAACCAGCATTTGGGGGTTCGATTCCTCACAGGGCCTCCTTGACCAGGCCTGGACTCCATGATGATTCAGAGGGCCCCTTCCAGCTCTGCAGTTCTAAGATGATTAAGATTATAAAAAGCATTAAATCTAGTATGGACCCATGACTCTTAAAGCAGTATCGCACTACAAGTAACTTTGCCGTATAGATGCCTTTAAGGAGTTGGAGTGGTCCGTATATGCCATCTAGATTAATCATCTTGCCTATGATTCAAAGAATCCAGAATGAACGCATTCTCAACAGATGGCTGCCTATCTTGTGTGTTAAAAGATAACAGCAGAAAACAAATAATCTTTCTGATAATACAGAGCTGTATATAAAGCATACGCTCAAATACCATATTGACATTTATCCTTCTGCAATGTGGCAAGCGCTCTCAAGTTCTTTTCAAGCTTTTGATTATTTCCCCCCTTTTGCCTTTACATGAGTCAGTTTTGTTGTAAGAGCAGCATCCCCACTCCTAAAAAAAAATCTAATCAGGTAACAGTATGAAAACATCCTTCTTCCAGGATTGATACAACGGAAATTGGAGCTGCTGTCAACCAACTGGTGATCATCGGCAAAGCAGACGTTTCTACAAAGCCTCATAAATCACTCAAAAACATCCTTAAGGGGTTGCTATGCGTATTATGGCCCGCCAGAAGCTCAAAATACGTCTGCTTTAAAAGATAACAGTAGAAAACAAATCCTCTTTCTGATTCATAGCTGCAAAGGCAGGGTCCAATATGATTTAATTTCTACACAGTGCCAAACGCATGTATCTTAGCAGCACCTTCATTTCTGCATCTCTGGCTTTCTTCTTCTTCCACTTACCTCCTGCAAAGCAAATCAAGACACTGTTCTTTAGATTAATTGCAATTAGTGTCTTTTCTACTTTTCCACCCATCCGTTGCCTAATGCTTCCTGGGGACACCGCAAGGGCTGCTTGGGGGTCTGAGTAAAGAGGGTGACTCACCCCGAAAGGGCCAAGGGGAGGTCCTGCCACCACTCACCACCCACGTTTGGTGGAAATGAGTCCACTTCAGCAGTGTAGACGCCAACACCATTTTTAATCATCAGAAATAAAATAGATTTCCACTCAGTGCATGTGAACGCGGCCACCGGCTTAAATACCACGTGACTTGAACCTGGTTTTTTTTAAAAGTCTGAACAAGAAATGGATTCAGATTGCCAGCGGGACCACAGCCTCACCTAAAGCCACCTCCTGGTTTCACCACTGCTAAGCGAGGTAAGATTTCAACAGCAATTTCCCAGCTCACCTAATTAGCTGCCACAATGAATACAGAGATACGAGCTTCATACTTATGATGTTCTAATGTCTTTCATTAATTTTGATGTTATTTTTAATGAAAAAAAAAAAGAAGTGTGGCTTTTCATTAGTCTCTTCCCCTCATCAAGAAAAATGCAAACAGGCTACAGGCGAGAGCTTTAAATGCAGTTTACAGAGGAGTGCAGAGGTGAATATAATACTTAATTAAGCATAAAATGAGCAACGGACTGCAAAGGTGATACACCAAGCCGTGCACAGCACTGTAACGTCTGTGGCAGTAAGCAGGGGTGAAAGCCAACGCTTCCAGGAAGAACAGCGGCTTAACGGAAGATGACAAGTGGGATCTGCACCGTACATTGCAGCATCTCTCCATCCTTTAAGAGTTCTCCTGTTCAGATTCCAGCCACCCAGGTCCCCTTGCAGCACATTCGAACAGGGATAGAGACCTTTTTTAAAAAATTCAAATGCACATTCTTCAAGATTTTGGACATGTTATATTTTGGGATGACACCCCTTGGAGTCCCGGAGACGGCACTGCCTCTGGCTGCCCAGGGGTGGATGGACTGGGTGTTGTAGTCTAAAACAACATTTCTGTATTCTGCTCTCTCTCTCTCACACACACACACACACTCCACTGCCAGAAGTCTATTGCGCTCATAACTCTGGAATAAAGTCAACAAGCATCATTTATGTGGCAGAACAAAGGCTTATTTGGGACATCAAAGTGCGGCTCTGATTCCTGTCCCTTCTCTTTAACAAGGAGTGCTTCTCGTTGAATGGCTCCTCGTGTTACCAGCCCAAAGAAATGGGCCAGCTCTTCTGTTTTTTGTTTTTTTTTAAATCTCTTTTAACCATTTTAGGGATGTGTGTGGGTGGAAAGAAAAACAAAGGGACAGAAGAAACCGTGGGAAAACTAGGGAGGGTTGTAAATAGAACAGGACCTTTTCTCTCTCTATCACCACCCTTGAAAAACTCCGTGTCAAGGAGGCCCAAGCGATGGCCCAATAAAAGTCTGTGGCCTGGAGTCACCCAAAAGTAACTTCTCCTCATCACTCTGGTATAGCGACCCACGGAGCAAGGGCACCCCACTGGGAGGCAGAAACGTGGTGCCTTTCGTGGGCTGGAGTCAGTTCGGTGGTCCCCAGCTTCTGACCCCCTTTCCTCTCCGTTGACAGCCCAAAGCCCTAGACAGTTTGGAGGCCTCTCAGCCTTCTTCATGCGCATCACGCAGAGCCCTGCGCCCAATCTCAGACATCAGGGTTGGAACAGGGTTGCGATTTCCATTTCCATTTTTTATGCAGGCAAAGAATACACCAGGGGCCTGCGTCTCTTCTTGATGGGACTGCTTTGTTTCAAACCTATGACTTTCATGACAAACGCTGTGAGCCACTTTCCAGTCCCCCAAAAGTAGCTGGCTTACTCCTGGGTCAAAAGGGTCCAGCTTGGGAACTGACTGGAGTTTATTTTATTTTATTTATTTATTTAATATTCCCCCCCATCTGGCAGCCAAGGCCACTCTTGGCCGGCACGCTGTTCTCCATACATCAGTAGTTCCCAACCAGATGTTCTTGGATTAAACCTCCAAGAAGACTTCACCGCTAGCTACGTGGGCCAGGATCACTGGGAATTGTAGTCCGAGAACATCCAGGGACCCATGACAGCCGTATGTCATGAGATCACTGGGAAATAGCTTGCACCAGATGCCTACGGCATCACACCCATGCTTTTCTTGTTGTTACGTGCGCTCATGTCAGTTCCAGTTTAAGACCAAATCGTTACAGGGTACACAAGAGACTCAAAGCGCAGTTTACCACTGCCACACACACACGCTCACCTGGGAGCAAATCCCATTTAACGCACAGAGACATCCAAGCAGCTGCCTGGAGTCTTGCACTGCAATTAACCAGCCATTCATTTTAGTCTTCTGGATTCTCTGTTTGCCAAAACTTCGCCTTTGTTTTCCAAACGCCAGACAAGGAACCATGTTATTTTGTTACACTACAACATACATATCTTGCATCAATTTAAAGGGTGGTACCTGTATTACTTTGAATTGTGGTGCTGGAGGAGACTCTTGAGAGTCCCCTGGACTGCAAAGAGAACAAACCTATCCATTTTGAAGGAAATCAACTCCGAGTGCTCACCGGA